AAGGGTGTCGAACCACATGGATTGATTAGAACTCTACAAATGACTAGCTTTTTGAGAACCCTAACTAAGCAATGAAAATGAAAACTGAATTTAGATTTTTGTTTTGAAAGCTAAAGTAACTTAAATGCAAGACAAGATAAAGATGAAGGATAGATTGATTCAGAAACAATGGGAACAGAATAGGGATACTGATTTCACCATTACAAGTCAATTCCATGAAAATTAAGTCAAAACGCATTCAACTCTCCAATCTGCAACTAGTGTTCGTTTTACTTATTTATGATCATCCATTTGATGTGTGGTTGTGATCAAATGCTAGTAAGAATCCATTAAGAACAAGAAAACTTCAAAGAACCAAAGAAATCACATGACAGGATGTATGCATATCAGTTTCTTCATTCATTCACATGTCCACCAAGATTAAGCATGATGTGCACTATAACCCTGATCAAATAATTCATAAGCAGTCCTAATGGTGATCAAACATTAAGATTAACAAACAAATTATACTATAAAATCAGTGAATGAAACAAGAACATAGATTGATAATTTGAATACTTTAACTTAATAACATAGAGTAGGTTTGCAAGGCTACATCGAATTCCCTAGCTATGAACTTAATTACACAACATGATTACATAATATATAAATATCAAGAACAACATGAGTGAAATTAAAGTTCATAGAAGAAACCCCCTTGAACCAATTCTGATGTGGAAATCATTCAAGAATAGTGCGGCTGCGTGGTTTCTTTGGTGGCAGCGGATGGTGAAAGGAAATAGGGTTTTGTTTCTAAAAGAAAGGCTAAAGAAAGAGAAGAGAGAGAGCTCTAGGCGACCCCAAGGGGCGCTTGTGTAAAAGTGATATGAAACCCTAGTATTTATATGCTAAATGGGGTTGCAAGATATTCCAAAGTGATCCCAGCAACTTAGCCTTTATTTTGCACGTTTTTGCCTTATTTAGCACCTGCAAATCAAGCTAGATATCCCAATTCCCTTTCCATTATGTTCTTCTTCTAACAAGCCAGATTCGTCTTGGATTCTTTATTTGGGCTTCAAAACAGGTCATTAAACTTCTTTCCACGTTTGAATAAGGGTCAACCCCAAAAATGACATGTTTTCATTTCTTTTGCCTTCAAATTGATCCTAAAGTACATGTAACCGCACATTAACACAAAATAAGATAAAATGCAACTAGTTTAACTCAAAAACATCACAAAGAGACTAGACATGGATGGCATAAATGCATGAAATATATGAGTTATCATGCCACCAAACTTTTTGTCTCCAAAAATCTGCAGGTGTTTCCGAGGTCACCTCTCATCAGCATCTTCTTGATTTTCCAGGTCTCTTCCTCCTCCTCCTCCTCGGCTTCCTGCTTAATATTGTTCACTTTGAGCGGTGGTAGTTGTTGACGGTTCGGATAACGGAAAGGAGAAGGGTTTTGAATATCTGCTTCTCTCTTGTTGGCGGACAACATCGAAGACAGAAACCCTAACGTTAGAGTAGTTGAAACTTCGTGAACACATTGTGGGTAGTGCACCCTAACGTTAGAGTAGTTGAAACTTTGTGAACATATTGTGGGCACTGAGAAGTGCACCCAAACGTCAGAGTAGTTGAAACTTCGTGAATATATTGTGAAGTGCACCCTAACGTCAGAGTAGTTGAGACTTGGTGAACATATGAAGTGCTGGAAGCAGGGCTTGGGGTTAGCTCTGTGGAGACTTTCTTCTTCTGCTTGTTCGTCGTCTTCGTCTTCCATCATTCTTGAATATTTAAAGAAGGGGCGAAACACGAAATAGGGTTTTGGTTCATGAGAAGAAACAAAGACCTCATCGGAGCTAAGGTTTCTGGTGATAATATCCATGATGTGCAACTTCACTGTATATGTGCGTGAGAGAGAGAGAGAGAGAGAGAGAGATAGAATAATGGTTAGTGATAAATGAAATAGAATGACCGGCTAGCTATTTGTAGGATGTGAATACTGAACCAGTTTGGATTAGGAAATCAATTGCTTAATTATTACCTATTTGATATGGGAAAAAAAAAAAGAAGATGCTTTTTAAATCCCTCGCGTATTGGGATATTTCGTGTCCCCGGCTTAATTGGTCGCCAAGTAATTTTACCAACGATTGATGTGCCGGCTAGGGGTGTGTTTGGAAAGGTTTGTATCAAAAACGAGGTTTTCAATTTCTCTTTCAAAATTTCAGAATCGGACCACAATTCTTAAATTCAGAATTTTTGGCATATCTAAAAATATTCCTCTAACTTTCATATAGCTCTAACTTTTTCGTACATCAATAAATTTTTTTTTTTGAAATATTTGATAATGGTTATGTATAAATTCAATTGATTTTTATGGTACATTGGTATGCTTATTCTTTTTAATATATAAATGTATATTTAGTATTAAAACAAGGATTAAGTACTTAAAACCCTCCAACCTTTTAGTGTCATTCCAAATTGGTCTCAACTTTTTAAACATTCCAAACAAGTACCCAACCTATTAAAAATGTCATATCCGCTAACCCGTAACTACATTTTTGTTAAATTAACTAGGTATTGCTTTGTATCCTACATCAATATAAGGTCATGAAAGCATGGCCTCCACCAAGTAATTGTCACCACCATCCCCTTCAGGCCATTACTTCCAAACCCAACGCACAACTGCAAACTTCACCCTACAAATCAAGCGACCAACATCAAGAAAAAGGCCATGGAGGTTGTCGAAATGGTATGGACTGCCATGATGCGGCCACCACCATCTTCACCGCCTAGAAAGAAGAACTCGTAGCTTTACTAGCTAAAAATTGGCAAATGAGGAAATCACATGAGCAGAAACAAGCTCATCAAGACCCTATATGAATTCTTAACCTTCTTTTGTGTTAGGAATTTTCCCAATCTTCATTTTTATTTTCCATTTTATTCGTGACTTTGTTTATTTATTTTTATTTTTTCATCTTCATGTCTTTTTTGAAGTTATTTTTATTATTATTTTAGTGTCCAAGTAAGCAAATAAGTGGGACCCATTATTGCCACATGTGCAGTTAATGGTAAATATTAAATGGGACTTAAAAAATGTGAGATTTTCAATAGGTTAGGTACTTGTTTGAAATGTTTAAAAAAATTGACACCAATTTGGGATGACACTAAAAGGTTGAGAGATTTTGGGTACTTAATTCTAAAAACAATGAACAAAATATATCTAAAAATGACAAAAAAAAATAAAATAAAAAGTGGATTGAAAAACTATAATTTGAGTAAATAACTATAAAAAATAAAAAAAAAATTCGTATGTATTTTTAGACCATCTCCAACCCTTGGAGTAAAACCTAAAATTTTTAGCCCAGAAAATTTAGGCTTTAACCCAGAAACAATATTTCTGCTCCAACCCTTTTGGTCTAAAATTTTAACCCCAGATTATTAAAAAATGAATTTAGGCTAATTTTTTTTAAAATTAACTTTAAAAAAAAATTTATGTAGACTATCCTAAATTAATTTTATGAACATCTTAACCTAAAAATATTTAAATTCCGATAAATATTGAAAAATCACTAAATTAACACATAAAACTCATGAAACATTATGGAAGAATATGAAACACATGATAGAGATGTATAAACACAAAACACATGAAACAAATATATGGGAAGAAATGGTTTTGGAAGATGGTAGAAAGAAAATTTGGAAGAATTGGAGGAGAAAAGTGAGTTTGTGCGGATGTTTGAACAAATACATAGGTATTTATACAGTTTTTGGGTGAATTTTGAGTTAAATTATTTTTTAAAATTATTTTAACTGTTGGATTTAAATTTGGGCCGTTAGATCTTTTTTATACTATTAGATTTGATCATATTAAATATCAGCAGTTGCATTTTATTAAATTATAAATTTAAAACAAAAACAATACAAATATAATTCTGGACAATTGGTCCATTTGAATTAGAGCCATTGGATGATGGAAAAGAGCAGTTAGGCTCATTCTTCTTGCAGGCAAGTGGTTGACATGGCCACATGGGTGGGGTCAGGAGACCTGTTGGGTGAGGCGCGTGCCGTGTGTCCTTGCTTGACGGGTGAGCTTCAATTGTCCTTTCTCACTCTCACATGTGAGCTCCACCACAAATTTTGGGCTAAATCTTGGTTGAAATTTGAAAAAAATTTTTTGGTGAACAAGATATAACATTATCCGAGTAAGAGATGCCAAAGTTTTACAGAGAGAGCCTACCCTGAGGAAAACAGCCAAAGACGACAATTAGATCGAGTAATGTAAGGAGGTACAAGATTCCATGATGCCGCATCTAATGCTAAAAGTGTCACTCCTCACACTACCAGTTGAAAACTTAGGGTGGGGGAGGGGCAAGGAAGACCATCATTACACAGAACATGCACAAGTAAAGATGGGGGTTGGAGTGTTTTGAGGGGAAAAGAAGGGAAATTTGAGGACTTACTCCAAAATATTTAGAACAAGGGTTGGAGTGTGTTCTAACACTTAGCCCCATTTCAGAATAAGGGTTGGAGTGTTTTGAGGGGAATAAAAGATAAATTTTAGGACTTACTAAAAAATTAGAGTTGGTCTTATCGGAGTAAGTTCCAAAACACTTAAAAAAATTCAGATCGAAAATTTAGAATTTTCAAAATCTTTAAATGCATTCCAATTGTTTGAAAAATATTCAGATTCAAAATTTTGCGGTTTACCTAGGCAGTCGCAACTTGACTAGACACCATCGTGGGAGTTGCGAGTGTCATATTTGTAATAACAAATATTTTTAAGGTGTATTGCCCATGTAATTTCCTCATTTTAGAATCATCGTAATTGGACAAGAATTGTCTGCCCTTCCACTTCTGGTGCCCTCCTGTTTTGTGTGGTCACGGTTAAGTCACGTCAATATTTTATATTATTTTTTTTATAAAGATAATAAGACAAAAATAAATAGTAATATAAAATATTAACATGAATTAACCGTTACCACATAAACAGGGAAGCACGGACAACGTAAGTGAGAGGCATACTTTGGCTTACTTTGAATTTGGTAGCGTAGGCGTTGTGATATATGAAGGCGTACTTTGAATTTATGCTGCGCACAAATCACTGTATAAAACCCTACACCACTGCTCCTTAAACCCTAATATTTTCCCCAATTCTTTTCCCTGGAAATGTTCCGCAGAAGGACAGAGGTTCTGACTTCGGCTCCCCCGCGGCCGCTTCTGTTGAGGTTCAATTCTTTTTCCGGAGAAATGATTTGTTCTTTTGATAATTTTTCCTGTTTGGTTGCTGAGAAAGTTGGAAGAGAAAATAATCAGATGATTGAATGCTTTTATGTTCAATTTTCACTTGATTGAATGTTTTTAGAAGATTATTATGTTTCATATATAAGTGGATTATATAGTCTAATGGTATTTCATATGAAAGTTGAATGTGTTGCACCTTAGGGTTTTTTATTGGACAAAATGTTTGAGGGTGTTAATTGAGATGGAATTATGTCTCACTTTGTGAATTTTCAATTACTATTCAGGGTTTCTGTGTCGTTAATCGGGTCGTTGTGCTCCTGTGGATTGGGGAAGCTGGGGCCGAGTTCGTTTTATATAATCTGCAGTTAATAAGAAATGGGAGGAAATTGACTGGTAAGTAACATTATTGCCGTTTAAATGTTTTCTATTGTTGTTCTTACTGAAAGTGGTTGGCTGAATTCTTCCGATTAGAGTTTATACAATGATATGTAATTATGAGGGGAGAGAGATCAAATGGCAATAAGTGAGATTAAATATGGTTATTTCTATGTTTTTAGTTCCATTCAGTGATGCAATCTGTTAATTCCCTTTGCAGTTGCTTGTATTTCAAGACATTGTACTCTTCTTTTTCAAGGAACACCTTAAGAGATTTAAGAAAATGGCAGGGGGCAATAAACTGCATAAGAATGATCAACCTTCGATCAAATACAGGTGGTACCCAGTTGGTCAGGCATCCTCTGGGCTTCCTGGTTTTGTTCATGAAGAATCTGCCCCCGCCATTTCTGATAAAGTTAATAAGCAATGCAGTAGAAAGTTGCAGCCTAAGCCTCGTGAGATATTGAGCACTGCTGAGCTCATCGCAGCAGTTGGCCAGATATGGGATTGTGCAAGTCGTCCTCTTGGTTTTTTTCAACCCAAGGCACATTCAAACCAAAATGACGGTGGCTGTCAGAAGGAGGTATTCTTGGCTGATATAGGTGGGGAAGGAAATGACACGGCACCTATTTCAGCCAAGAGTGAGTACTTGTCTGTTGATTTCAGGAATTTTGGTCCATTTCCACCCGCAATCCAATCGAGTTTAGATTTTCTGCAGGTAAGTGAAAAGATTTCAGTATTCGAACCTTGCAGTAGAAGTTATTCTCATTCATCATTTTGGAGGTTTTTGCATGATGGTGCGAGTGTGTCTCAAGAATCTTGGAGGGGAAATGGGCTTGCAAGTTTAGAAGTCTCATACCAATTGGGAAGTATATATGGATGGATGGGTGATATGATTTCTTCTGGGTTAAACTGCCCAGTCAAAGTGACTGAGATTGATAACAGAACTGGTCAGTACTGCATTCCAGGAGAAACAGTGAGCATTGCAGGCCGATCTATTTCAGGAGATACAACTAGTCATTCAGAGAAATTGGCCGCAAATGCTGAAAATCCTGCTGTAATTGAATGTTACAAATACCATTTATCATCATATGAGAATGGAAACTTGGAGATGGATAGAAGCACCTCTCTGTCTTCTGATTACTTCCTGAGTTCAGTAGGCAGTGTGGCAGATGGTAGTATTTCAAGGACCCCATATTCTAATCTATATACGGACTATCATATAGACTCGATTGTTTCCTGTAATGATGTGTTTGAAGAATGTCATCCTAAGACAGATCATCATGAACTACTTGGGAACAAAAAGAAACGATCCGAAAAGTATATTATCCAAGATGAATGCAAGGCAGAGATCTGTGCATTAGCATGTGAAAAGCGTCGTTATACTCTTCCTAAGCAAGAGCATGCCTTTGCAGGTGCATTGTCTGGAGTATTTGTTAGCATTTGTCTTCATCCTGTTGATACAATTAAGACTGTTGTTCAATCCTGCCGAGCTGAGCAGAAGTCTATATACGACATTGGAAAATCAATTGTGTCTGATAGAGGTGAGTTGATTTATGGGAATTCAGGAGAATAAACGTTATTGACTAATTTTATCTTCGTTACCCTCTAGAAGGCATTCTCTTAAGATGTCACATAACTGATAGCGGTGAAATTGATTTTAGGTTTAACTGGACTTTATCGTGGTATTGCGACCAACATTGCATCATCGGCTCCAATTTCTGCAGTTTATACTTTCACATATGAATCAGTCAAGGGTGCTTTACTTCCTCTTTTTCCAAAGGTACCATTTTGACTTTTTACTATCTCTACCATCTTGCTTTTCCCTCTGGCTTGGTCCCTATACTTCTCTGTCTCCTCAACTAATTAATTTGTTTAATTTATTTATTTGCAACTCTAATTGTCATGTGGAAGTGGGAGGGAGGGGGGGGGGGGAGAACAAAAAAAGTCCATAACATGTTGTGGAGTCGTAGACTCGTAGGCCTTATTGGTAATTATTGCCAATGCGTTGCATTTAGGCTTTCAAAGTCTCACCCATTTCATTTTTTTGCAGGAGTATTACTCTTTTGCCCACTGCGTGGCAGGCGGTTGTGCAAGCATTGCTACTTCCTTTATTTTTACTCCTAGTGAGCGTATAAAGCAGCAGATGCAAGTTGGTTCACACTATCACAGCTGCTGGTATATCTTTAAGATCCTTGTATTATCTGTTGCCTATATCACAATTGACATGGTATTTAGTCAAGTGTTTGTAGCCATTTATTTTGATTGCTTTATCCATTCAGATTTTTATTTTAAAGTATTTGAACTTTTATTTGTAATAGTACTGTAAAGTCAATGTCATTTCCTTTGTAGCGGCTTTAGACATTTCTTCGTTTTAGCTATCAACTCTGGTTCTGGCATGGTCCACACATAGAACTTCTGTTTTGTTAGTATTCAGATTCCCCCATTCATTTATTTTTTCAGGAATGCATTTGTTGGAATCATTCGGAAGGGAGGTTTGCCATCACTGTATGCTGGATGGGGAGCTGTACTCTGCAGGAACGTTCCTCACTCAATTGTCAAGGTCAGTTGTTTCTACGTACGATTTAGTTTTTGTGCTAGAGAAAGGAATTTGAGTCAACAAAAAACATGCGCGAGGAGAGACAGTATCAGACATGTCCTCTTGCTTTGTTTGTATTGTGGATTCATTCAACTGCCTACGGTTATTTTTATTCGTCTTATTTTAGCTTTCTGTCTTTACTGTAGTTCTACACATATGAAAGCTTGAAGCAATTTATGCTGTCTCCAAAAGAAGCTGGTGTCCAACCCACCACATTACAAACAGTTTGTTTCCTTCCTCTATGCCGAACATCTTCAGTTTTAACTATAATCTACCTTCTTGCAATTGGCTTAGCTAGTGTTTTCTTTCTCTTATCATCTGATTTTTATTAACATTATTTTTCCGCTTGTGCAGCTAGTTTGTGGAGGAATAGCGGGATCTACTGCTGCTTTATTTACAACTCCTTTTGATGTTGTGAAGACAAGATTGCAGACTCAGGTTTGCAATTTTGACGCATTTATTATTGAACTTATTGTGATGTTGAACAATTACAGTCAGGGTATTTCATGATCCAAAATGTCTCAGCCTTTATTTAGCGATTCACACCAGCTACTTTGTCCATAGATTCTGTACTAGCTTCCCAAAATAGGTTTCTAAGAGCATTGCAAGGGTAAGATATTATCCACTTGAGACTTTTGAAGTAGAATGTGACTGGGGAGGACATTTGTTTTGACATTTTGTGTCTGTAGAGTTTGAACAGGTCGCATGTTACCTGGACTTTTACACTTTGTAAATACTATAACGAACTTTATATATGTTGTCTGTGCTTCTTAAAAAGTTTGTGTTATGCAGATTCCGGGTTCTATGAGCCAGTATAATGGTGTGATTCATGCCCTTCAGGAAATAGGAAAGAGTGAAGGTCTGCAAGGCCTCTACAGGTATTTCTTATTCCGTTTCTTCTCATTCGTAGGTCAGAAGAATCGTTCTTTTTATCATCAATGAGCTGATTTCATCTCGTCCTACCCAGCAATTTTATGGGGAAACCCTTGCAAACAAAATTTCCATTGAGCTGTATGCTTGATATGACGATAGCATGACTGATTTTCTTATTGTCATTGTCAGGGGATTGACTCCGAGATTGATTATGTATATGTCTCAAGGAGCGATCTTCTTTGCATCGTACGAATTTTTCAAGAGATTGTTCTCTTTGGAGAGTCCCCAAACCGATGTTCAAAGAATTCAATACAAACAAAATATGGACAATGATCCAGTGCTGCCATCATCAATTCCATCACCATCTTCACAAGCATCATCTGAACTGCATGCTCAACATTCATGACCAGAGATACAAGAATTCTTCAGCTTTTATAGGAGAATGATTGCATTCAAATTTTGTATGTGAAAGTTGTTGATAAGAAAAGGATGTACGGTCGGCGTAGGTGCAAATGTGGATCAATATGTGCAGATGTGTATCGATATATGTATAATTTTGTGTCCATTTTTCTAACACTAGTGTAACTTTATTCGCATTTCAAATTCTTACAAAATATACGGAAAAAAGAGTAGCTCTTGGTCTAAACTAATTTTCGTGTCATGATTCCAAGGAGGGCAAACCCATTTTCATTTTCATTTTTTTCCGTGAAAACGCTGCTATAATTTTTTCAAGAAAATGAAAAAGGGAGATTCGAACTTAGATCTCTTTCAAAATTGGAAATAGAAGCACCTACTTGGTTTTGGGTTTATTATAATATTACACAGCCAGAATTCTTGCTTTAAATTACTCAATTGATTTATAATACCTAAATAACCTATTTGTTGTCAAGAAGGTCGTCGTAGTATAGTGGTAAGTATTCCTGCCTGTGACCCGAGTTTGATCCCGGTGTAAAATTTTAATGTTTTACTCTGTTGCGTAAAACGACAGGCCGTTAAGCAGTGACATAAATTTATGAGATAATTATTTTCTAACAAAGTTTGTATTCTTATATTATACAGTAATTAGTCATGGATGTTGTCTTCTCCCTCCTAATTTATAAAGTACAAATCAACCAAATTTGATAAAAACAAAAATTTGCAAAAGAGAAAGGACCGCTATGCTAACTGCTATCTCCCAATTCTCATATGCTTACTTCTTTATGCTTCCCCTACAGGTTTCTATATGGACAGTGTTGTATGCTGCTGCATTTGGATTATCGACGTCGTCGATGAACATATTCAATGATACAATTCTAAATGATCTAGATTTTAGACCCTCCTTGATGGTGCTAACCCTCCCTCCGGCAATGGCAAGCCTCGCCCGCTTCAGCAAGTCCTTTTCGCCTCACTCAGTTGCCTGTTGAGCCTTGCCACAACTTTTTTTATACTAAATGACCCTCAGTATCTGTGTAAATGTCGTCTCGGCCATCTGTTGCCGATGCCCTTCCACTTGGTGCTGGTTAGACTCGGGGTCATCTCTAAATCCCTTGTGGGATTCTCCGGAGCAAACCATAGATGCAGCAGGAAATCTACACCCGAGCAATTGGAGAGAAGGGAGGGTTCAGTACATAAGACGGTTGGATTTTTTTCACCCTCTTAGCTACTTCCTTCTTCTCCCCTGCCGTAACTGCTTCAATTAAGTACTTCACTTCTTCCTCAAGCACTACTTTCAATGAACTGCATTGTGACAACTGTGTGTTCCTCTCCTGCCCTGCGGCTGCGGATGTTTCTGTACCGTGCAAAATGGCAACACATGTAGAAAATGCTTGTAGTGTAGATAACCGGGCATGAAAATCAACTGCATAGTGTCCCTCTTCAACCATTGTCATGATCACTGCTGGTGCCTTCTCCTTCGATCCCTGCGAACAAATCAAAGTTGAGCAATAGCTTATGAGATTCCCTACATATATGTTACCAAGCATGAACAAAATTAATGAAGAACGAAATTAGCAGCTAGTCAACTACGATTCTTCAATGGGGAGGAACCAGCAAAATCAAACCCGTTGTCTCTAGAATTCTTTTTAGTTCAGAATTTAACAAAAAGAAGATTTATTCAATTCAAGCTATGATCATGAAAATTTTCTCCAACGTCAAACCTGAACATAAAGTTCCATAAGCTTCTGATTCTCTGCCAATAGTTGATCATCAGCGCTTTTGGTGTGGGGATTGCTTAAGACAGTAAGAGGACAGGACATGTCCCAGCCACCACAGTCACAGCCTCCACCCAACCTCCACCGATCTAGTAATGATGAAGGACCGCTGCTTTCAGCACTCGGTGTGCCATGGTTTCCAGCTGGTACCACCACCTGTAAGTTTCCTGGACTTTGGCTATCAGGGGCAGCCTCCTTCTTCTGTTCTCCCATGGACAGTAGGTTTCGATGTACTTTATCACTAATTTTATCCCCTCTCTTGTATTTCAAGCTCTCTCTCTTTTCTAAAGGAACTTGCATAACGATGGCTGCAATTTCAAGGCTTGGATGCAAATCTGCAGACGGCCAGCCTGAAGTATCGTTATCACTGCTGTTGGAAGCATGTTTTTGTTGAAGTTTGACCTTGGTGGGACAAGACTCATCCAACTTTATAGTTGCCCCAACTGTGCCTGGACTAGAACCTTTGGGAGGTTTAACATCATCAAGGCTACTATTAGAGTTTTCTTGGGCTGCAAACGTTTTCCTTGCATGAGCGATATCATACACCACAAACTCCGTCACCATGGAATTTTCAAAAACTCCATCTTTGAGTTCCGAACATAGGTAACAGGACACTTGCATCTGTCCCACCATTGAAGAATCTCTGTCAATACCATATAATCCCCAACCGCTGGCATTGCTCTTCTTTCTGCTTCCGATGGAGTGAAAGGTATACACCCAATTAATAGCATTATCTGCTTTCCATGTCCTGGCCACCAAGACGTCTCCTGAGCACTTCAACGAGAACTCAAAAAATGGCATTCCGTGCTTATTTTGTAACTTGAGATGGCCATGTAGGTGAACTGGCGAGCATGCAACAACCGATTGGTGGTTATCTCGGTTGATACGCGGAGGATCACAATCTGGACTCTGTGCTGTATTTGAATAGACTGGCAACAAAGATTTTTTATGTGACCTGTTTCTTGTCATGTTTGCCGGCTCAGTCGTTTTGGCTCTGCCAGGTTCCACTACATAACTCGGAGTTCTCAAAGACTTAGACTTCATGAATGGATCAAACATCTTTATAATAGGGCTGAACCGGGTCTTTGAGCTGACCCTGGATGAGCGAGCACTCTCTGGTGGGGAACGAGATTGGAGCATTTCCACCTTAGCGGAGAAAGACTTGTGCAATGTGTGAACTTGGTCTCTTTCCAGAAGTTCATTACCATTATTTAGAGGTCCAGCAACAGCATCACTTCTTAGTTTCAGATCCACTGAGAATTCTCGTAAAGCTTCAGCAGAGTGCTTTTCCCTGTAATCGGGATCCATACAAATATCAATCAAACTATCTGATGAGCATGGTTCAACATGAGGCCGGCCAACAGATGGTGCATTCAAGTCTGATTTCAAAGATGCTACTGAAGACCTATTCTGTGTACTCTCCTCATCTGAACTACACATTGTGTCAACAATTCGGTAAGAGAAAGAGGTGTCACTACTTCGCGGCATTCCAACTTTTCTCCTAAATTCAACAGTGCCCATTTTCTTAATATTTTGTACCTCCTTGGAGCTTTGATATATAGAACCACGCTTAAGGTCTACGTTAACAACAGGCCTAGATGGAACACTTTTACAAGAAGCGCTGCGATAGTGATGAAAGCTGACTTCCACGAAATCCTCCTTTATGCTCGATAAATCATCTTTACGTTTTAATTTTCCTTTTGTGCTCCTTCTTTCACCATGGGAACGAGGACAATGAGTTGGAAGCACAGTGTTAGGACTCAAACCTACCGTGCAATTTCTATCGAAATCCATCTCTAATCCCATTGACAGATCGGAAACTCTGCAACAAAGATGGAAACAATATCAACAAAAATCAAGACCTGCAGGATATAATTTAATCCTAACAACACTGCTAAAAATGACATGCAGTTTCTACATTAAAATTAAGGGCTCGTTTAGAAGTACTTAAAGTGCTACCTGCAAGAAGCACCAGTTATGTGCTTCTTGTAGGAAGCAGTGTTTCTCCAGGATTCACTTGCATTTTTACTAAGGATTGGTTCCAAAAACATTTTCATCAAAAGCAGTTTCAGCCATTTTAAAAGCACTTTCAAACGAGTCCTAAATTCTTTCCCCAAAATAGGCAGGCAAATACATTGAACAGAAATAAATACACCAAAGAAAAGCATTCAGCTGCAACAAAAATTAACACCAATGGCAGTTACTACATCTCATCTGCCAAAATAAATCTGTCTAAATACAATGCACTATGAAAAGGGATACGCTTTCTGCAAAATTGATAAAAACGAAGAAATTATATTTCAAATAGCAATTTACTTGCACAGATATACTGAATCCAATGCACTTCTCTATCTGCAGAAAATTAGATCTCTAATTTGCAGAATTCCAAGAATTATTGAAAAAAAAAAAATAGTTGAACAATCCTCACCTTGGCAGAAACCATTGTTTGAAAAGGCACAAAACCCATCAAAGATTCCAAACTTTGAGATCACATAAACCTCAAAAAACCAGAACTTGATCTCTCCAAAAATGAAAACCCATAACCCAAAAGCACACAAGAAATTCTAATGACTTCAAAAGCACCCAAATGAGTAAAGCAGTACAGCCAAAAGCTATATATTCCAGAAAAGAAGTTGCTTGTATTTTCACTTGCATTTGAAGGCAACCAAAAAAATAATGGTTGCAGAAAATGTGCTTACCCCACCACAGAGCAGATCTCTCAGATAAGTGAAGCCAAAGGAAAACCCACCAAGCTACCGGCAGATGCAATCATGTTCTTCAATCTCTTCCACTCAAAGTCTCCTTGAATCTTCAACAGCAAAAAAAAACCCAAAACTCCCAAAAGTGTAAATATATATTTCACTCGAGATAAAAAGGAAAAGGAGACTAATCAGAACAAGGCCAAGAGCAGTAAAGCATGAGACACAAAAAGTGAGGTCTAGAGAGAGAGAGAAAAAGGTGGATGAAGGGTGAGACAATGTAATCAGAGAGAGAAAGCATGCCGAGAGAGAGAGAGAGAGAGTGTGTGACTTCACACTTCACAGTGAAGATCTGTCCTCAAGCCACACACACAAGAGGAAGAGTGCAAACAAGAGTTTTGTAGCATTGAAGAGACAAAGGGCTGCTGCCTACTCTTTAAACCCGTTTAGTTTAATAAAAAATTACATTTTTACATAAAAAAATCAATCATAGTATTATTTATTTTACTTTTTATTTTATCATTATAGTTAAAACTCAAAATTTTTAAATTCTTTTCATTAATTTTTCTTTTTTTTTATTTCTCTTTCAAAACAGGATTAGTTGGGTTTCCAAAAAAAACAAAAAAAAAAACCAAGATTAGTTAGAGGTTTCTTCAAGCAGTCCACCCTTTTAGAGATCAAGAAAGACTTACAGAAGCATATCAACTTTTTCTTGACCACCATCTTGCTATTCACTATTGGTAAGAATTGAACCCACAAAATATCGTGTGGATTTAACTTTTCCATTTTTTTTGTAACTTTTTTCTCTTTCTTTTTGTGTTTTTTTTTTTTTTTTTTTTTTTTTAATTTCAATTTTCTGGGTTATAATTTATTTGTACACATGGCGCCCTTGGAGAGAGCACCCATGTTTAGAAAGACTATAAAGCATTCTTCTGGACCATTGAAATGCCTTGTTTAAGGGGTATTTTTGGAATTCTGATGCCATTGATTAGATTAAGGTTGGTGTCCTTTACCTCGCACTGCCACAAATTAATTATTATGTTTTATGGTTTTGGGAAATTGCAAATATCAAAGACTGGAATCCCGCAATTAATCTGACGGTTCCCTATAATTAATCAATTAATCAAATCATTAAATTAATTTAGTGAAATGCAGATCTTGCCCTACTATAATTTAATTATAATTACCCTAAAACTCCTCAAATTTTCAAAATTTAGATACTTCTTAGTTGACAAGACAGCCCTCTAGTATTATCTTCAAATGCCATCTTCTCAATAGGATCACTTTTGGATGGGATCAAATCTTCTCCGTCCAAAATGGATGTGGTCTCTCTGTGTCCTCAATCGCTGATGGACACGTGTTTATAAATTAAACTTTTCTTAACTTTCTTGTCATAAAATTAATATATGTCAATCAATAATTGGGGCCATATTAAGGCTACATCTATTTTGGATGCAGGAGATTTGATCTCCTTTTTTATTGGATTATTTTTATTAAATGATTTCAAACTAATGAGATTTGAGAAAAATTAGGGTAAAAAAAGGGAATAAGCACAAAGCCAACACTAAAAAGATTAGTTGGAAAGAATGTGTAATGAAACAACTTTTAAGTGGTATAATTAGTGTTTAAAATATCTGCATTAGCGAAAATATCAAAATGCAAATTTGTGAAAATATCGATGAATATATCAAAGATCGATATCGATATGGGTTGTTTCGATAAAAATAATGAAAATCGAAAATAAAACTTTAAAAATTAAAACATTAATTTGAACGAAATATAATCACATGCTATAAATTGTTTAGTTTAGGAGGGTTATTTAAGTCAAGTGGTCCCTCAGAATGAAAAAAGAAGAAGACACAAGTGAGTCAATGAAAATGATGGGAAGTCTACTGTTGGGGAATGGGAAAGGCATGGACCCCAAAGCTAAAGGAAAAATGGGTAAATCCATATGCATGTGATTGGTTTTAGGCCGAGCGGTCGGTTACATCAAGCCCACGGAATCTTGGACTCGAGTCACGCAATCCCATTTAGTTTTAGGCTTTTAGTAAGGTAACGATAGAGAGACGAAAATGATGTGTCACAAAATAAGAATATTAATCAATGCCTAAGTAAAAATTTAATTATCAATAATCATATTATTTGATTTGTAAATTTAATTTTAAAAAATTTAATTTTCGTGGCATTATCTTTTATCTAAAATGGTATCTAAAATTTAAAATCGATAGAATTGGTTTCTGAATTTGTCCACTATTATTTATTTTTTGGTCAGTACATCACAATTAAATAAAGACAAAATGTCAAATTTACTATTTTCACTAATCATTTTGGCTAATTATTTATTGAATTGTGGATATTTTTATTATTTTAATCCTTATTTAATAAAGATTTTTCATAAAAAGACCAAAATAATTGACAGTAGACAAACTTATACCACTTCTATTGATTTCAAACTCAAGCAGCAAAGTACAAAATTATGACAATCTCAAGGACTATTTTGGCTTTAATACCTTTATATTTTAGTCAAAGGATTTTGTAACTGGTATGGTAACTCTCATCGGGTAAACAAATAAACACCCAACCCCTGTTCAATATTTTGGTCTGATGGTATTCCTCTTCACTTGTAAGTAAGAAATCTTATGTTTGAATCTCGTGGATAATAAATTCAATATCAAATAGATTGCCTATTATGTGACTTAACAGAACTCTCCATCTCCTTAGTGTAAAATACATCATTATATCGTTGTACTCAAAAGAAAATAACACCCAACCCACGTGTAAGCAAACACAAGGAAATAAACACCCACGAAACTCAACAGAATAATGGTGACAGAGAAAACAAGTACAAGGCATCTCTATCTCCTTTACTTGTCTGCTCGGTTAGTGCAATTCTATCTCTGGAGCATCAGCAGCAGATACAGAATTCAAGTCAAAATTAACTACCCTAATCCCCCGGGGGTTCAAGACCGCTTTAACTAACATATGCATGTGTATACGGCTGTACAAAAATTACCAAGGCTGCATTTCCTACATAATTCATCCACCTATCCATAAACTATCAAGACCGCAGCACCTCTACTCGGCTTTCTTTGCAGAATCAGAATTTTCTTCCCTTTTGAACTTGCTAAGTGATCTTTGCGCTTCCAACACCGGCATATATGCTTCAGTTGTTTTTCTTAGAGCGTCCTTGGTTGTCTTGTCAGGCTCACGTGGGCTCGCCAGCTTCTTTTCAACATCTTCAAACTTGGCAGTGGCCAAAGGAGCCGTCCCCACATTCTTGTTAGAACTGGGTGCATCAATTGTGAGCATTGAAACCGCATCCCGGGCAGCATACCATGAATGACCACAGGCAATACACTCCAGCTTTAAAAAAAAAAAAAAAAAAAAAAAAAAAAAAAGCATGAGAGGGTAAATTTGCAACAAGCAAACTAGGGATATAGCTCTGTCACAATCTAAATTACCCTTGAAAAAACAATGTTCATGCATTCTTCCTTTTAACTAAAAGGAAAATGAAGTTAACAGAGCAAATGGCCTTATCACCTATCAGTGAAATAAACAATCAAATGTCGGAAAGAGGACCCAACGAGAACCAGAAAACTTTGGTAGATAGAGATAACGCAAAAACTTCTTTCATCCATCTTCACCACCTATTTTAGTTAGATTACAGCTAAAATATCAAAAGTTTAGGGACTTAAATGTATGCAATTCAAACTTTGAAACAAAATAACTGATGTAGCGATCACAATGTGTAATACGCTGATCATAGGTTTTGATACATGTATGAAATGTTATAACTTTTAATTTAAAGGGAAAATTGGTTTGTGTTGCCAACTCAATAGTCATAGTTGATGCTTGGTTTATAGACAGTGGGTAGGACTTTCAGATTACTTAGGTCAACCCCCACTCTGCAATTGGTGTGATACCAGAGACATGTTTTCTTCTTGGTATTTTTGTCAGAGCTGGACTATTTGACACCATACTTAGCCCTCAAACATTACCCATTATTTCGTGTTGCTCCCAACAGTGTATTATCCCAGTTTATAGAGTAAAATATAGTGGCAAAAGCAATTGCCACTAGCCTATAGACTATGGTTGGATGCATATCATATATTAATCTCTATATGCACTAACCTGATAGCGAGCACTGTGTCCTGCTTGAATAATGTCCCTAACTCCCACTTTGAACTCTGAGCATCTTGAGCAACGAGCGTCAGTCATCTGTTTCACGGGCAAGAAGTCAACAATGTGCACAAAACGTATGTGCTGCAGAGCAAGAAGTCAACAATGGGTACAAATAAAATCACCTGCATACGCTCCCAATCATCAGGCTCCTTCTTTGCTCTCTCCTCAGCTGTTAAACCCTCCTGAAGTTCATTAAAAGGTCACGTTTAATGACAAATCAAAACCTTGACAGCAAGAGCAACAATAGCATTATCACTTTTGTCTAAACCAAAAGTTGGCTATTGCAATTTGCAACAACATCTTGTCTGCTTATTATACACGGATACTCAAAAGGTAACATCTCAAGAGGCCATACTCAACCCAGGGCAGAGGGAAGCACAGAAGCATTTTATTTTATTCTCAACTGACACCTTCATACTATGAGAGAAAAGGTGAGCAAGTAATCCCGAGTCCCAGACTCCCAGCCAAGGCATAAATACCTAAAGAATTTGCTGAAGCAATCTTGACTCTACATCTTTCACCAAAAGCTAAGTATTCCTTCTCTTCATCTAGTCCAACAATGGCAATAAAACCCCACATATGAACATCCACGAAATTACTCTTTAGTAAATCTTATGAACAACATTAAAAATATGCAAAAGAAAAGAGCAAATCAACTCAAACATGCCTTAATTCAACAGAAATGAAATAGTTTACATGAATTTCTGTGCTATTCCATAATAGGATACATTTTCATTAGGCAATTTTCCATTATCAATGAAAAAAATTGGAGCACTCGCGACCAAAATAGACCTCTTTAGATGTTACTGAAAAATTGTTAAATATGCATTCAAGATTTTGCTGCCAGAAAGGAATTGAAGTTTATTGATTTTTATAAACAAACAAATCAACATGCAGAACCTAAAACCTAAGAGTACCAACAATTTCTCTATGGCTATCTGCTTTGAAGACTAGTTGGACCTAAAGCTGAAAGCATAAAGAGATTCTCTATGAATAACCCACTTCAACCCAAAGAACCAACTATCAAACACGTTTATCGTCATTCACTTTCCTTGATAAATGCTCCACCAACCAACTGAACAGCCTTACCAAACTTTTTTCCTAGAAAAACCTTACATGAACATGATAAAAAAAAAAAGGAACAACATCCAAAGATATAAGAGACGTGTCTACTACCACTGTTGGCATAAATACCTTCCATCCCTCCAAAATTAGCTAACAGTAAGTTAGACTACAAGGAAGAATTAGTCAGCATAGATGTTACAAATATGTCCAGTGTGACCAAAAACAGCTAAAGAAAACTGGGTCTGATCAAAATCGAATCAGAATTAATCTTCCTTGAGAATCACCATAAAAATCAACCACCTACAAATCAAGCCATGATAAAGACCATACCTTTAACTCCTCAGGTGACATGTTCACTATTGTTAAAGGTTCCAACTCTCGATTTAGCAGACGACGGGCTAGGAATGAATTTTTCTGCCAAGAGAAGAAATATAAGAATAAAACGAGAGAAAAAAGACATTTGAATAGAAAACAAAGACGTTTAAAGACTAAAAAAGTTTGGACCTCAAACAAATAAAAAAGACAATGTTCATTTATGAATGGAAAAATGCAACATTCTTATAACACAGTTGGAAGGTCTTTTCAAGAGTATGTTATCTGCACACATATGCATGACCATGAGCATACAAGCACACAGAGCCTTCTGACCTGGAGATTGAATCCCAGTTGCCGCAACTTCTGGTTATACTTTAGGAAATCTGAGGAGAGAGACTCATGCGAAGCCTTCTCTAGAGAAGTAACTGCACGAACAGCATCCTCTGGCCAGAGAAAAGACGTGTTGCCACTCTGAAAAGAAATAAAGTTAACGTGTGAGTTATAACTTATAACATCTCCCAGAGACTCCACTCCCGATTTCCAGTGCACCCTATTTGTCAGAAAACCAAAGGATAAATATAGAGCTGCCAAACTGAGGGGGGAAAAGCATTCACTACATACCTTGACATTATCCTGAGATCCATTTCCAACTTCTGTGGGCTTACGGTCACTTTCATGATCAATATCATCAAAGCCAGATTTTCTCTTTTCAATACCGTTTGTAGTGTCAGCAGAGTTCCATACGTGGTGCCGGATATTTTGTAGAAGTTTCTCCAACCATCTGTCACGTAGTGTGTCTCCAGTTAGTGCCATGGACTTTGCTAAAATGGAATGATATTCTGAGTTGCTTGTTGGGCAGCTTCCAGGTGTTTCAGCTTTTTGATTGTGACCAGGCCTAGCAGTTGCTTCTTCCACCCTAGAAACATCAAGGGGTGATATATTCTTTTTAATCAGACTTCTTTTAGTCTTCAACTGATCATCCTGATAAACATTGTTATCTGCAATCTCTATATCAGGAAGTTCTCCCAATAGTTTAATAGTTTTCTGAACTAGCAAGTCAATCTCATGTTGCTTATCCTCTTCGTAGTCTCTATCTGTCAGCTTCCAGAGTTTTTTCCCTTGGGTGTCATACACCTTTTGCACAATGAAGCCAGGATGCTGTTTACGACTTGGAAGCTGTTTGTTTAACGGAACAAAATGCACCAAACATTTATGCATTACAGATTCTGCAGGAACCTCATCACGATGGAAACTATAGAACAACTCCCTTGTATCAGTTGACTGCCAGTTTCCACCAGCTTTTTTCTCTGCCTCTTCAGGACGATAAAACCACTGTCCTAATACCATCATGCTCCCACCTCCGGTCCTGCTTATATCCTAATTAATCCCCAGTTCCAACAGTCAGAAAATTAAAATTAAGTCATTGTGAAAGTGAAGGAGACGAAAGAGAATAAGTGCATACAAATAAAAAAACAGAAAGCAAATCTGTTGCCCATAACTTCAAATAACTAGAAGCCCACCAAAAAGCATAATAGAACACAGACCAACATGCCAAGAAACTTGAGGAAAAATATTCAAGCAAAAGATGTATAATTAAATAGTCAAAGGTGAGGACAAAGTGAATCATAGGGTGAGAAGTGAATAACAATATGTGAAGCAATCAGCATGCTTATCCCCATGAGGCTCGCCTGTATTTGAGACTGTCACCATGTATATGTATATATGATCCCTATATCTTTGTTACATCTATACATGTTCTTTTGCCAGAAAATGCACATCTGCTAGTAGTATAGTTGTTTCCTCGTGATCTTAAATCAACATATACTAGAAGAAAACATAGAAATCTTCATCATATAAAAACCCCTACAGTTAGTTGTTTTCAACCAAAAATATATCACCATACTAAAAAATAACCATGTTTCACAATCTGAACAATTTGTCATAACCTGAATTTCACTTCTGATCTACTATATATTTTAGAAGCTAGGACCTCAAGTAATGAAATGCAAATAAATTAAACAATGTGAAAGGCAAAATGTTTAAAAGAACCAAAAATAATATCCATATACAAAAGTGATAATATGATTTCATAAAGCATGTACCTTGATAATTGCCACATAAGGCTTTTGTCTGGTATCCTCAGGAGTTAGAAGAACCGGATCCTCCTACAGAGTGATTAAATGATCAGCGCAAAACATTAATGAAATAAACAAGTGATACCTCATTTAAAAATCAAGAGATATTCAGAACCTAGGGAATCTGAATCAAATAAATGAGCTTTAATCTAAACCATTTGAAAATTATATATATATATATATATGTATGTATATATATAGACACACAAAAAAGTATCACACAATATCAAGATGAAAAAAAAGGGACAGTACACAAAACCAACAGGTGTACAGAAGTTCAAGTGGCAACAACATTTGTCAAACATCCTGAGCATAAAAATATATAGAAATATCACATTTAACATGAAACACTTGATAACAATTTTCTGTGCGTAAGGAAAGCATATACATTATACCAACAGCAAGAAACAGAAGAAAACGATAAGCAATGAAAAATCTTTACAAAGACACGTAATTTGAATTTTACAGCATCTTCTTGTCAAAGGGACAAGAAGAGTATGGCTGCTGGAGACTCGGAACACAGAAAGTCTATGGAAAACACTCAAATCTGAAGCTTTCATGTACCTAGAGCTGACACTCATCCCATGTTTTCGTAGCATATTAGCTGAGGAGCTATTTGCTTCAAACTCATAAGAAGACTATTTGCTTCAACATCTAACATTCTCTGGTTCGGAATTGAACATGCAAAATTACTTCTCCTCTACAAACCGCATGTAGAGTTTATCCGGGAGGGGAAACATAAAATATATCCAAAAAAAGGGGTAAAAAGAGCTATGTTTAACTAATAGACAAAAATTCCAGAACATTCAATTGCCTCCCTAATCACAGGAAGACGACACCAACGAGTTTGTCTGCATACAAAACTCAATCATTCCCTTTTGGAAATTTGGATAATATGTTTTCATCCAATCGTTAACTGTCTTAGAAGAAAATGCAACTCGAATTCTAGGATTCCCAGTGGAAGTTTAGTTGCTTAATACAAAGGGGCAGAGATGTTCCAAATTAAATGATACCACAATGCCAGCTTAAACAACAACATTTTCCAAACAATAAGTAGTAAATATTCTTACTTTGCAGCAATGAATCAAAACCAAAACAAAATTCAACCAAACAACCACCCAATTCGCCAAACCCTACAAACCCAACAATCAAAACCAAAAATTTCAAGATATAAAAAAAAGTACCCAGAATTCACAATTTCTTAAATTCTTAAATTCAAACCAATTATTCAAACAATGCGAGAAAATCAGAACCCTAAAACCCAAGCACCAAACACAAAATCCCAAAACCCAGCCCGAAAACGCAAACTGACCAGGTCAAATCGGGTCCCGTCATACTCAAACGCCTTGTAATGCTGCCTCCGGCCCCTTCCCTTCCCGGAAAGCTTAACGACCTCGCCAATCGGCTTTGCGTCCTCCACCACGTGTGGCTCCTCCTCCTCGTCTTCGCTACCTGACGCCGTTTCGGCCTCTTTCTCCTTCCCTCTCCTCTTCTTCTTACTCTTCTGCTTCTCCTCCTCCCCCGACTCTTCGTTGTCCCCTTCTCGAAGCTTCACCTGCTTCCTCTTCCGCGACGATGTATCCCCCGCCGACTGCTGGTGGCTCCGGGGTGCGACGTCGTCGTCTTCGTCGTCGCTCGTCGTGACCTGTGCAAACCGCCGGTTCCTCATGATTTTCCAGGCGAAACGCTGCGTTTTGGTAATCTGATTGTCAAGGGCCCTTCTCTCTCTATATCTGCTGTGTCTCAGACTGGGAAGCTCTGAGGACGATGACGTGGGTCGTCGCGGTATTTCAAGCGACGCCGTTTGGGATCCCAAAATGGGCGCCGTAGTTTTGCGGAATTTCGGATTTGCCAGCGTCTACGTATATTTTGGAGAATAACGAGCCAGCGACAATAGTATTTCTTTTCATTTATAAGTTAAAGATCTAAGTTTGATTGTTATCAAATGTTAATTTGAATCACATTATTATTAGCATATAAGCTTAGCCTACATCTTCACTTTAATGGAAATAATATTATTTGTTCAAAAAAAAAAAAAATTTCCGTGGCCCGTGGGGTTTCGTGTGTTTGTAACCAAGTACAGCATATGAGGATGCTCCCTCGCTTGAGAGTTGTACCTAACCGCCGATTTCATCCTCACGCTCATGAGGATAATAGTTCCTATATCTGTTGTGCTTCAACATAGAGGATTGGTGGCCCACCGAGCGCCGTTTTGCAAGTGTAGTTAACCGTATACATGCGTCGTTTTACCAGCGAGGTGGTATTGACTGGAGAGGGAAATGCCAAACAAATACAAAGATTACTAGCATAATTTAGCACTAATACGATTTTTAATCAATTAGTCATTGTTATCTATACTATTACTAAGAGACAAAGCCGCACAACACTTAATATTATAGTTTATTAGTATTCTTTTAACTTGTAAGATTTTAGATTCGAATCTAAAAAATAACGAGTTTGCAACTAAAAATGACAAAGCTGGCTTTTAGCTAAGACAAATAATGCCTATGTGCTGGACTACTCGTTGGTTAAAAATTTAAATCTTTTGTAAGTAGCATATAAAAAGTAAAAACACGATTCAAAAACAAACTTGAACATGCAGGGGTGAAGCTTTAGAGGTAAACTTGGATGTGTTTCTTTCCTCTTCCCTTCCGTGTGCTCTCCTCTCTTACTTAGATGATTGTTTTATAGGCAAAGTGCCTTTCAACCTAATAAACGTACCAAGACATTTTTTTTGACAATTTTGTAAAGGTATGATCATACTTGGTAGATCACATTTTACAATGAGCATTTACACCATACAACATTTTTTAGTATACAAATCAATTCTCATTTGCCTACAATGTAGCAGTATTCTAATCATCTATAACTAAGAGGTTGAATGGTGAGCACTGTATTTGTGAATATGGACAAAAATTTTGGGTAAATTATACAAAACTACCTAATTATGGGTCGAATCATAATTTCATACCACATGTTTTAAACATTGTAATGTCATATCTCAACTTATGAATTCGTTGTAATGTCAAACCTCCATTAAATTTTTTGTCAATTTGGTTTTTAAATGATGACATGACAGGAATGAGACTCAAAATAATTAATTAATTATTAATTTATTCCACTTGGCAAATGAGTGGTTTCGTTCCTACCACGTCATTATTTAAAAACCAAATTGACAAAAAACTTAATGGAGGTCTGACATTGCAACGAATTCATAAGTTGAGGTATGACATTACAATATTTAAAACATGAGGTATGAGATTGTGATTCGACCCATAATTGAGGTACTTTTGTGTAATTTATCCAAAAATTTACTTATTGCACTAAAACATGCCTACATATTATATATACTCATTTTTTTTCAGACAACTTTTCTCTCATCTTTTAATAATCATCTCGCTAGAGAGAATAAACCATAGAAAACATATTGAACAAGAAAATTGAGTTTTTACTGCAAACTGATTAACAGTGCGAGGAGTGACTCAAACCTCCTTATAAACTCTTGCACGATTGTCAATAATGATTTGTCTTTCATTGTGTTTCGAGTTCAATCTATCTTCCTTTAATGTGAATTAATGTAAAACAACTCTTACAATAAATAAAATCCTTCAAAGTTTGGTCCTTGTCCAATTTCAATATAAGATTTTATCTTTCACACCTCACAACTGCATGAAGGTTTTTGTCTTAATATTGCAGTGCCTACCTGCTCTAGTGTTTCTTTTAATAGGTAGGGTGAGAGGTGGTGTTAGACAAGTAGGAAAATAGTTAGAATTAAATTGTGATTTCATTCTTAACTTGTTGGAATAGTTCTTGCTATGCAAGGAATGTAATTGTATATATACTTATTCACGTATCAATGAAACATAACTTTCAGCCCATATATCTTTTTCTACGTGGTATACAGAGCAAGTTTCAAACCCTAGCTTTTTTTTGGATAATTACATTTTACCCCCTCAGGTTTCGGTGCAATTACAACATTATACAATATCTTTAAAACATTTCAATCTCATACATTTAGTATTATTTTATTTCAATTTCATACAACCGTTAAGTGATGACATGGCAAATATGGGGTCCCCATTTGTGCTAACGTGGCTAAACACTTAATAAAAAATTTAAAATTTAAAATAATTAATTAAAGGAAAGTAAAATTTAAAAAAAAAAAAAAAAAAAAAAAAAAAACTAAAAATCCCCTTCGGCTTCCCCACCTGAGCCCACCCCCTTCTCTCATCCCTCATCACCCACCCTTTTCTCCATTAATTTTGAACTCCTTCTCAAATCCAAAAAAAAAAACCCAAAAACCTATCTTCCCCATCAAACGCCAACCCTCTCTAACCTCCGCCACCGTTTGGTTTTCCAATGATTTGACCTTCTCCTTCGACCACCCACCAAGCTCATGTTCGATAGCAACGACATTGAGCCTCCTTGAATCGGGACTTCCAGTATCGACACCAAGCTAAGCCAGATTTGCGCCACCGAGCAGTATCATGCCATCGCTGCTGCCTGAGATCAGACCCTCATCATGCAATTCCTTCGTGATAGGTAAGGGGTGGCGGTAGCGTGCGACTTGGGGTGGGAAAAATTTGGGGCTAAATGACACACCCCGACCTAGATCAGGGCATGCTGGCCGTCACGTGGAAGTGACGTAACCATGTGCACAGTGCGGAAGCTAATAAAATAATAATGTAAATAGTATGAATAAATAAAAACTAGCCTTACATAAGGTAACAATAAACCAGTGCAACGTAAGTGCGACGCTAAGTTCAGAGCATAAAGCCTAAAGCAGTTTAAAAGAAAATGTCGCAACAAAAGTACACTCGAAGGTGGTCCTACGCTGGTGATCGTCTGTCAGATATGCCGAGAAAATCCTCAGGGAAACCACCAAACGTGTTAGCCAACTAGAACCTGGAAGGGTGCAAAACAAAAGCGTGAGTGGGCAAAAACAAAGCTTTTCGAAAACCATTTAACAAATAAGTTCTAACCCCTCGCCGTAAAACCTGTATACTTCCCATAAAATAGATATATATATATATATATATATATATATATATGCCAATCATGCTCAAGAATATGCCGTGCCAAAACCTCAGAATGAAATGTAAGTGCTCAGGTAAAATCATATCAACATCAAATAATCTGTCAGCCGGAGTCACCTAACGTGACCTGTACGGCTGAATCTAGAGCTCAAATCTCAATCTCACTAACTAGACCTGCACACGAGTCGGAACCACCTAAAGTGGTCTGTACGACAGGCCTGGGTGTAACATATATATACGCTCAAGTGCTATGATCACGTGAAGGTTGGGCGAATAATCGCGGGTCACCTAAGAGTCGGAACCACCTAGAGTGGTCTGTACGACAGGACTGTGCACCTAACTTGGATCCAAGTTGAGCGTGTGGTGCGGGAGGTGAACATCACGTGAAGGACTGTGCCCAACTCGGGGCGGGAGCACTAACACCGGGGGTGCAGGTTATGAGCTCTCTATGCATCTCAAATCATTACTGAAAGTAAACATGAATTACACTTACCTGGCACTTACCTGTGCGTCCGCAGCACCAATACATACACACATATATATGCAACTAACCATGCATAACAAACGGCAATATAAAATATGGCAAAAAACGAATAAACGTTTTAAATCACTTTCTGGGAAAAATATAAGTATATAGGTATATACGGAAAACCAAAAGCCCACTCACTGGTAAGTGGAAGGGTCGTAACCCCCTGCCTCGAGTGACCACGCTCGTCCTCGGGATAGGATTCACCTATATGCGAAACAACTACAAAAACGTTAATTTTAAAACACATAACCAACCTTTAGAAATAACTTCTCATACAATGCTCAAATGGGGTGTATGAATACACCAACGTGATGTACTCAACCTCAGGAATATCCCCATATTTTTAAAATAATTTTTCACCGCCGCACACGCCGGCCACGCGCAGGCAAGTGCCTGGCACGCTGACGGTGTCAGTTAACGCCGTCAGGAATATTCCATTATCCCTAACGGTAACCGTCAACGGCGTCAGGAATATTCCGTCAGTTTTGACGGAATATTCCGTCGTCTTCTCCGACGAGGCTCCGGCGCCGTCGCCGGCGCTGGAAAATCGGGAAATTTTCAAACCTTTGTAACTTCTTCGTTTTTCGACCAAATTTCATAAAATTGGTACCAAAATGAAGCTTACAACGAGAGGAACAAAATCATACTACTTTCAAGTGCTAAAATCCACAAAATCTCACCTGGAAAATCACCCCAACTCCGGCCAACCTCGAAACTCGTGATCCCGACGTCCAAAACCTTCAAACGAACCACCCCGAGCCTCCTAGGGACCTCACCAAGCTTCCTACAAGCTTGAAATTCCCAAAAACATGAGAAATTACGTGTGCATGAACAGTACCCAAAATCGGGTATCCTGAGTTCGACGTGAAAATGAAGGTATCCTTACCTGAAATGGGTATGGTTAGACTCCTACGAGCCTCACGAGCATGAATATGTGCTTAGTTTCTTCGATCTGGGACGATTTGGTGAGTTTGTGTGTGTGTCCGTACGTTGTATAGAAAATGGGATGGGAAAGGGAACTCGGGACAGGTGCAGGGATAGGGGAAAACAGTGAGGGTGAGTGTGTGGTGCAAAACCAGCCACACCAAGCCAAAAAGAACAACTACACAACGAAAAATCACGCTAGGGGCAAAATCATCTTTTC